TTTTTACGTGTACGATGATGGAACGAAATAGTAACGTATATATCTTATACATCGGATCCGCACCTGGATCGAGGAGATCACATGTTGGTAAAGCATGCCATTGTTGAGAATCAGAAAGAAGGATCATTGCCTTTTATATATATGCATGAAATTTGTGCCTTACATGTGCTTATTTTCATTCGTTTATATCATTTTTGGGTTATATTTCATTTTTTATATAAATTAGACCCACAAAATAAATAAATAAATAAATAAATAAATAAATAAATAAAAATGTTACCGTAAAAGAAATACGATGAATAGTTCTCTAACAGTTCAGTTTTTAAGATTAGTCAAGGTGCACACAAGTTGATCTGAACACTCTATAAAAAACAGAGAAAAGAGAACAATAATTACTCCAGTTTTCGAATCAAATAATTAATTACGACTTCCTTACAAAATCCTTGCTTAAGTCCGTCTTTGTTTTTTTTTTCCGTTTTTAATTACTTTATCCTAAGATTAGGATCGTTACAAGTTGGAGAGAATAAAAAAGAACCATACATAATGACGAAAGAGAGGTTTCTTTCGCTTTAAATAATTACAAGACAATCCTACCCTTTCAATTTTCATCTTCTCTCTGAGTGTTTTATCGATTCAAAATAGAACGTAGACGTAGTTACGTCTTTTTCATTTATGTTATTTAAACTTAGAGGTCGTTTACCTAAACACTTACCCAGCAAGCACTTACCGGTAAAATTCAACACTACCGCTTACTTACCGGGCAAGATTTTATTCACTAAAACGCATCGTATGCAACAATTTATCCCGGTAAGCGCTAGCCATGGTGAGAGTCATCGTCCTCACTTACCGGATAAGACTCTCGATTCTTGCCTTCACTTTTATCGGATAAGATTTTTAGTCTTTGTCATATTCATCCGATAAAGAAAAGTGAATTAAGCATTTGGTAAACGGCACCTTACTCTGGATTATAAAATTATCAGTGATAAATTAATAAGTAAAAGTCATGAATAATTAGGATTGAAATTGATCACATTTAAAAAAACATATCCAAATCACTATGAAGCTTGTTGGACATGTGAAACTGAGAACAGTGTTTGTGGGTGCAATAATGTTTGGAGAACAAACTGTTGTTTGTCGTATTTGTCACCAAGTGTTTGTTTTTATGCGCCAAAGAGTCACAGGGCCTATCAAAATTCACGGCCAACAAAGGCAATGCTATCCGAAAGAGTAGGGTTTCACGGATTAATTTGGTCTTTTTTGAGTCGCAATCGACATTATCTGGTTCTTGGGGCAACCTCGTCTTTTCTTTTTATTTTTTTATTTTTTCTTTTTCGATTTGCTTTATGTTCTTTTCTTCTTTTCTAACCATCCCCGTAATTGAAGGCACAAATAAGGGTATTACGTTACGATCCTTTCTTATATATAATATTAATCATGTGCGTAGACATGATATATCGTGATCCTTATGTGGGTTGTTATAATTTTATCGCTAGAAAAGAATGTTCAGTTGCAAACTTGGTTTCTATTGTGAACTGGGAGACAACAAAAAATGCGACATGTGTCCCTATTTGTTCTTATTCATTATGAATATGAATTTTTTTACAATATTCATAATGAATGATACATCATTAAGTTTGTAATTGGACATGCCACTATATATACATAGTGTTATGGTGATAAATAACAACCATTTTTACGATAATTCTCTCATAATATATGAAAGGTTATGTTGTATCTGTGAAGGCCCCAGTGGGTTCTCATGCATCTGTTTAACCGATTTTCGCAAGTATAATTTTTTTTTGTTTGAAAAATACACATGTTAAACTTTGAGGGATGCTCCAGAACGTTAAAAAAAATACAAAGGCCATCAAAGGCGTAGTCATAATTCTAATATACGAGGCTTGAAGATCTCAAATTTAATTAGCTTGTCGATTGAAGTTATTCAAACAAGAGGTTGATATGAGATATACGATTAATGTCAATTATCTTAAGTTTCGTAAGTTTTTTAGAAGAAATTTGAATTGTGATGAGTATGTAGATAAAAAAAAATCATAAATAATGTCAATATAAATATCTAGATTACATATTACAGATAATGACAATATAAATATCTATACTGTCCAGGAAGAAATCGGGCGACTTTTATGGACCTTTTCTTTTTTAACCGTGTGTTTTTTGACCAGCTTACGCGCAATAAAACTAAGCCTAATAACAATACATTATAAACATACAATGTGATTTGCTAACAAATATAATTCATATTTTAAGTAACGTAGTTTCAAAAACTTTATTTTAGTACCCGAGAATGTGACGTCTCAAATATTTAAGTACCTATATTTTTAAATTGAAGGGTATTTTTGTCTTTTTATTATTTCTTTCATTTTCTATAAAAAAAATTATATTGCAATTTTACTGTACAACTCTTCAAAGCACTTTGTACAAGTATTGAAGCATGAAGACATGAACTCTAGTTTTTGTTTCCTCACTTCAATCTTCAGTCATTGCTCCGCCATCGATGACGACCTCCGCCGTTCCACCCCTCCGTCTCCGCCATCGCCACTCATCTCCAAGGTTCCTCTTCTTCTTCTTTGCCGAATGCTCCACCTGTGTTCCCCTCCCTTTTCCCATTTTGAAATGTTTAACAGATACAGAGCTCCATCCTTTCTTCCATGCATAAGGAGCAATCAGATCTTTGTTCAGTGATCAAGATTCAGAGCTACATCCCTTTCTTGAAGCCTACATCTCTCACTGTACTTCTTCAGCAGCATCTTTGTTGCTCCGTTCACCAATGAACTCAAAGGGTATGAAGCAAATCACGCCATCCCAAACTGTAGCTTCATTTTCAGAGTCTATATAAAATTAGTTTTGAAAATTTATGGGTCGGCTGACGAAGATGATGGGTGAAGAAGGGAGGGGAATTAAGGAGCCGTTTACCAAACACTTACTCGGTAAACTCTTACCGGCAAAATTAACACTATTATTTACATACCGAGTAAGATTTTAGTCTATCAAAACGACATTGTATGCAATAATTTACCCGGTAAGCATTTACCGTGGTAAAAGTCGTTGCCCTCACTTACCCGATAAGACTCTTAGTCCTTGTCTCGTTCTTACCGGATAAGATTATTGATCCTTGCGTGATTTGGTAAACGGCCCTAAGAAAAGAAGGAGAGGAAACCTGAAGTTTGAACAAATCATCCATCACTACTAAATGGAAGACCTTGCCTATGGACTTTTCCCTGGGAAATTCGTCGCTAAAAGATGATTCTTCACAAAACCATCACAAAAGTTGGTATGTAATTCAAATCAATAACAAATTACCCATGTATTTCTCTCGGTGGTCCGCTGGTATTTTTTTCGAAAAATATCATATTTTACCAAACTATTGATATTTTCTGGGTGATCCGTCGGTAACCACCAATGAAAATTTCTCTGGGTGATTTTTGTGGTTCAAAGTCATTTGTTTTATAGTACATTGGATGTTAGATTTTGTCATCTGACCCAATCCATTCATTAGATGATTGGATTAGATCGGTTATATCAATTAGATATTGCTATTTGTTATCTTAATCAAATTTTCAACTAAATAATAAATCATTTCAACTACGTATTCGTATTTTTTTTTTTATAATTTCTTCAAAAACGTTACATATAAATATGAACTAAAAACTCGTAAAATATTATATACGTGTGTGTGCACATGCGTGCATGTGTGTATAGGAAAGAAATCAAATGAGTGATTATAATCCTGATGTTTTGTTATCTAAAGTTTAAATATAAGTAAATTAAATTACATAATTATAACATTATCATTTATTAAAAAGTAACAATTAATTTTGTTATGTTTGGAACTTTTTTTTATTTTGGGTTTCAACCCGAGATTTCTTTTTCAGTTCCTTTACGATGTTAACCATCGATATATTAGATTTTATAGCAGGTCTTCACAATGTGTAATTAAAACATATGTTCACAAGTGCTTCATAATGTGAAATTATGAGATACGGGTGTTTACAATGTCTAATTAAATCTGATGTGCGTGATGAGCAATTAAAATAGAAAATGTTCAGTTAAAACATGTGTTCACAGTTTGTAATTAAAACATGTTTTTACAATTTGTTTAAAAGGGGTGCATTGGAAGTGGTTCACAACATGATGTTATAAGATATAAGCATTCGTAGTGTTTAATTAAAGCAAGTGTTAACGATGTGTAATATCTGACGAAATAAGTGAGATTATCATCTCGTTCACCTATAAATGACCCGATATATATATATATATATATATATATGTATGTATATATATATATATAGGTGAGTTATTATGCAACCTTTTACATTTGTACAACCAATACAACACAATATCAACCGTCCATTTAATTTGATGAATATGTGATTTCATAAAAGTTTTGAATGTTTTCTAATATGAAGTATAAATCATAATTAATGAACTCTAGTCATATTACATAGATATTCAAATCATAATAAATGAACTCTCATCATTTCCATAAATATTTCAATTGATTTGGTTGCATTAGTTGTACAAATGGACATGGTTGCATTTGAAATATACCATAAATATATTGGATGGTAATCGAATTGGATCAATTCGGTTTTATTAGATTCTGGATTACCATTAAAAAAATCGACAAATCTAATTTAAATGTTAAAATTTTGAATCCGACTAAGGGACCGTTTACCAAACACTTACTCAGTTAAGCGCTTAACAAATCACATTACCTCACTGAATTAATATGGTAATGACCAAAAATCTTACCCAGTAAAAACGAACAAAGACCATGAGTCTTACCCGATAAGTAGGGGCAAAGACTCGTACCACGATAAACGTTTATTGGGTAAATTGTTGCATACAATGTCGTACCCGGTAAGTAGTGTCCGATAACATTTGATTATGTTAAAAAGACGATATCACCCTTGAAAATTGGATGTATTTCCTAATGGATGCCCTCGTGGCATTTGAGAACCCCAATGGAGTCCTGACCAGCATCACTCTCATCGGCCGTTTCTCTATCTCTCTCCACTGACGGGGTGTTTACCTTCTCTCCGCTGATCGCAACATCAGACACGACAAGCAGAGAGACCATAGTAACCGGTTTCCGGAGAATTCTATCCCTCTAGGGTTTATGTTTACTCAAGTTTTCATGTCTTATAATCATCATCAATGGAGATTCCGTTTAGTTTCCCCGATAACGAAGGTTTCACCTTTGTTTCTCTCTTTCTAGCCCTAATGTTCACTCTTCTATGTTCTTTGTTGTTCCTCCTCCCTTTTCTCATACTCATATTCTCCCAATCGAACAAAACCAAGGCTTGTAACTGTCTTTGTTTTAGTTGCAACGGAATCGATCGAGGTTCTGATTTGATGGCTGTTACGGGGGCTGCGGTCACTAGGATGATGAATGGTGGTGGAGAGGTGGTCATGGTGGAGAGGGAGCGGCAACAGACGGTAGGTGCGTCGATGATGGAACAGTTGGTTCCGGAAATCACGACACATGTGTTGAGTTACTTGGATTATCCGAGTCTTTGTAGCCTGTCGATGACGAATTCTTCAATGAGGAGAGCTGCAAATGATGATAATGCTTGGAAAGTGCTATATCATAAGGTTGCTGTTCTTTCCAAGTTCTTGATGTTACTTGCTGCTCGCATGATCTGCTATATTGAACTTATATTAAATCTCTTACTCGATCTTAAAAGAAAATTGGATTTCATATTTGATTACGCGTTTGTCTAAATTCCTGGGGACTATCTGGCTAGAGGTGGGAGGGAATGATAATTGGTTGCTTTATGCTGCCCGCTTTGGTTCAAACGTCCTGCCTCTGTTTATCCAAAACTTCAAGCCTTAGGTTGGGTTTCCTTTATAGCTTTATGACTAAATTTGTTGAATTGGTGCATTCTGCTTCATCAAAACCATATGGAAATTATCAAATCTCTGCATAGAACTATACTTAGGATTTTACCTTTTGGACTCTGCCTACTCTATATGAATTTTGGTTTATGTTACTATGCCATCTTTTATTTATTAAGTTTTTCTTTTTTTGAGAACCTATAGATACATTGAAGGACTTTTTAAACATCAAGAACCCTAGGAATTTTTGTTGATATGCCAAGACCCGTAAGGAAGGCTTATTGAGCACATGAGATCATAACAGCCAATCATACATTTTATCAGCTGGGTTTGTATATTTTCAAGTCTGCTCCACTCATGCAAGAATAATATGCCTAAATGATGTACACGAAAAACCAAACTAGATATTAGAAATTTGGTGTTAAAAACAATATGAAATCTTTGTATTGGCAAAACTCATGCCAATGAGTATGATGAGAATATGGTAGAAATATGCTTGGGAAGAAAATTGTTTCATCCCAAACTATTGGAAGAGATGATTATAAAGAGATCTACAAAGATTATAAAGAGATGAACCTCCTACGGTTTTGGGATACATGTAGTAAGTAGCATCCTTGTACGTACTCGGTACTTCATGTAAACCTAACTTCCTTTGGTATACTCTATCCACTTTTTTCACTAGTTCTCGCCATGCAGATCTTAGTGGACCTCTTCTGCTCCTGCGCTCCTACAGGAATAGGGGATTCCTTTTAGGACAAGTCTCTTCTAATGTGTGTATTCTATGGTCTATATTTGAATTGACCAATTTATGTCGGACATTGTTGCCAGCTTCTCCTTGGGTTGATGTCAACACAATATTCCCTAATAAATCATAATATACATTGTGTTGTGTTACCGAACATCTACCTCGATATTCACATTTATGCCAGGTCTTTACCTATTTGTTACAGTACCAAATATCAATAAAGACGATCCTTCTTTACATGTGCCTGTGGATGCTAGTGAATGTCAGATCAATAAATTCAAACAAAAAATCCACAAAAAACAACATAAATGTGGTAAAAAGATCATGTGTAAAATTTATAGAATTGTATGCCACAAAAAAGAATTGCCAATAAGATAAGGAATCAGACAGTTTTTGGTTTTTTAATGAGAAAAGCATCTTTGGCTTCATCAATTAAATGGATTCCTAAGAGATCCAAATCATGAGTCATAGGATTCAGGCAACTGTGGTATAAACCTTGATAATGCTCCAAGTTTCATGTAGTAGTTATAAACTTGTAATATCTCGATATTCTAACATCCATATTCGGAACTTGTCGATGTTTGTGAATGTGCAGTTTTTGAATGTTAAGTAGCAAAGACTGACTAGAGTAAAGCTAGAACTTGTCATCTTTGGTTTTTTATCATAAAAAACGATCTTGAGCCTATCGTTGATGCTTTTTTAAGAAAATTTGGAACACAGAATATGCTTGTTTTTAGAGTAGAGATGGGAGTAGTGCCTTTTGTCGTCAAATGATATTTGAGCATTACATATAAATCATGTGATTGTCACTTAATCATGAGTTCCAACAGGATGGATGACCATTTCAACCTAATCATTGGGAGACTCTTGTCCTTGAGGCCCAACACGACGAGCATAAAATTTTAATTGAGAGAGATCTTGTACAGTTGGCAAACCTAGTGAGAGAATATGGTACCTAGCAAAACTGCAAGTTCATGAGCACTTCCCACTTAATTAGCTTGCCTACCAGCCCAATGGAGTGTTTGATACCTAGCCATTTTTAGTCAAAGCAAATGGACATGTATAGCAGTGGACTTGTCCTGTCATGACTTAGACATCTCATTACAAAATCAAATCTCACATGGAGTCCCCTTTCAGGCTTCATATCAAGTCTAATTCATTGTATATGAATGACACAATTCTGCCTTTCAGGACCTATTAAACGAAATGATGAGAGCATGTGACAGAAAATTGATGGCAGAAAACCAGTCCAGCTTCCTTAATTTTCTTCATTCCAGTTTTACCAGTTCTTGCTTTTCTTTAAAACTTGGTTATTTTCTTATTCATTAGAACTTAATTATGTTGGTTAGCAAATAATTCTCCTGGATGTGCACTATAAATTTCCCAGGGATTGTTGCAACTTGTGAACTATCTGGAAGTATCAATTAAAAAACCATTCTGGAGATTTTGTTCTCTCAAATTGGACTAAGCCTATTAGTTGTTTCTATGTTGAAGATTCTTGCTCTTCTTTACTAATATCTTCCACTTTACTTCTCTGATCATTTCCTCGTGTCTATCAAATTGGTACCAGAGCAGTCTGATTCAATATGGCGACCACCCTCTAATCCTCCCATTGACAAAAAACCCAAAATCGACAAAACATAAACCCACCACTAGCAGCAGCACCACCGCATGGTGATCTGGTAGATGTCCAACTAGTCTCCATTGCATATTGACTTGAAAGATTGGACACCCTGGCTGCAGAAGTGGCAGTACTAAAAGCACATATGGTGGTGTTTCACCTGTCACACCTGATCCAAGAGCAGCCAATAAAGACAAAGGAAAGGACATTCCTGAAGGTGCTAGAGAACACGTTCCATGTGGTCTGAAGTGGAAGAAGATGTGAACAGCCCATGGTGGTGGCAAAGTCTAGCCGCATGCCCACATATGAAGATGGATTTTTTTTTAAATTTGATGGAGGCTAGTGTGTGGATTCTTAAAGTGGAAATTATTTCCATTACTACCAATCTCCGGAAAAAGTCAAGGTCGATATTGCTGCAATGTACCTTTAGAAAAGATGCCTTGGATTTATTTTGTGACTTAGCAACAATGAACAAATGTACTCTCATCTGTTGGGATGAGCTCATTAAAGCATTGCAAGGAAGTTATGGACCAGAGATCTAGCCTATCCATACCGTTGAGGCGTAGATCTGAAGCTGTGAAGGAAGGCTCTGTGTGGTGAGCGATCTAGCCTTTCTATTCCATCAAGGTGTAGATCTGAGAGTGTTAGGTATTTGCTTGAGATCAATCTCATCCCCGTTGTAGGCATTTGAGTAATCCCACCCATTTTGTGAAGCCAAGGGGTGAGATTTGTAAGATTGTGTTACTATCATAATTGGTATATATTTTGCATTCTTTATCTTCTGAAAGGGAAACTAACTATTATTAGAACAATTCCTATATTTTTCTTAGATTTGTCAACTTAACCCGTTGCACTAGTTTGGGATGTATATCTGGTAGATAAAAATTTCTTTTTCTATTACATTTTAGCTGGATTTTACTGTTAATAGAAGATAACACGGTGGTATATATTAGTTTGTTATTTATTACATCTCCTATTTCGAAGTTTGTTTATGTCCTAGAATTAAGTATTTGTCATACTTCTAGATAGGAAATGCATGTTCATGGTCAAAATAGGATTTCTGAAGCCTGTAATCATGTAACTTCAGTGCATTAACATATTCCTGGAATTGTTGTCAATGCTTTAAAAGCAGCTTTTCCATGTAATATCATGTGATGCCATATTTGAATTTCAAGGAACAATTTGGGATGTCGGTATGCTAACAACCCAGATAAGGTTTGAGGTAAATGTGTGTGTTTGAGTGTATTCAGTTTTTCTACTCTAGTAATTTGGCATGTATTTCTTTGTGGAGCTTCTGTATTTCTATAACATTGGCTTTGAAAACGGATTGTGCTGTCCTGAATTACATAATAAACATACGTGATAGGAACTTCTGTTAGGAAGTGGGAACACTAAATCCTTTCTTTAGAAAATTTTATACTTGGCAGACCATGACTTTTTGTTATGTAATTGGTCACAAAGGTGGTCTCTTGGTAACTTCATTTGATGTTTGTGGTATCTTCATGTTTAAATTCTTGTCCAATACATAGCATCACAAAACGATGGCACCTAACATTTACAATTAACTTAGGAAGCAGACATAAAAACCCATGATATTTGTAGTCTTGGGTAGTTTGGCACTGCTGTGGCAAAGTCAGAACAAAGGTAATATAAATCAGTTTTGCAATCTACTTGTTCAATTGCCCTTTTTGTGGCTGAGATTGAGATTGTAAAAAGTAACTACTAATGATGAAAGCACCTAAAGGCTCTTGGTGTAAAATATAATGCATACACTTCTGCAGATGGTGGCAATTCATGGAACGTTAGACTAAAAGTAAAACCTTCTAAATGGGTTGTTCTATAGTTTAGCCCTGTTAATTTTCTATTTGTTCTTATGCTAAATTTCATGGAGGGTCTTTTGCAAGTGTGTTCAAAGATTCAAAACCCTCTTGTTTCCCTTTTTTTTTTGTGGTAGTGAGGTGAATGACATAAAGATCTATCTTCCTTTCAAACCTGATTTAATAAATTTGAGTCCCAAGATAATAATTCATCAGTTGCTGGTAGAATCTCTTTTTTCAAAATTTTCCTTATATTGTTACTTTCTTATGTTATGTAGATAGAATGTGGTTCTTTGAGCTGAGCCAAATATGTGACTTCTTCTTTGTGTAAACCTTATAAGTGTTCTAAATTTGCTAGGCCTACCTCATTAGACTGTTCTTTGTTAGTTCTCACTTCAGTTGCAAAAAAAGCGTCTGCAGCTGACCCTTTGAATTCTTGAATCGTCATTCCAGGATTTCACAATGGAACAAAATGGTATAACACCTGCTAATGGATGGAAAGCCTACTATGCAGCTACTAGAGCAATTGTAATCATCAATCAACAGTTTTTTGACATCATTAGAGAAAGATCTCTTCTAGAAATGGGCCGTCTTTGGCTGAATGCAGATTATGTAAAATGTATTCATGCCTCTGGAGATATCTTCACTGGGTAAGGTGCTTTTCATTTTTTTTGATGATTTAATCAGTTCATTAGATGCTTTTATTCATATCCCTACTAGGAAAAAAGATATATTTTGACTTTTGACTTCATTTAGGCTAACATTGACTTCAAAATTGATGTGAATTCTAATGCTCCATGAGAAATTGTTGTTAACAACATCAACATTAATAGCAAAAGCTACAAATAAAAATTTCATAATGTCAAATATGTATATCAATGCTCTGTGTTTACCTGGTTAATGGAAGTAGTACTTTACAATGTAAGGTAGAGGATTAGAGATCATTTTTTGGAACAAATCCTAATCATATATAGAAAAGTGAAATATACAAGATCTAAGGGGCATACCAGAATCCTCTATACTACAAAATCAGATATGCTCAACAAAACCCCCATATGGAGGAACAACCGACAACTCAAAAACCTGAAGAAAATGCAGGAAGAGCGATAGCCAACAACCCAGGTTACACCTGGTGCCTTAGAAAAATTTTGTTTGGATTATGGACATTATGGATCCAGAACGTCTGGTATCTACTTATAATGTTCAAAACTATCATAGCTGGCATCCCAAGTTATAGTCTCCTATTCTCACTCTCTTCAAACATAGCGAGTTAGCGATAGTTTTGTCCTAGCTTCATCTGCGTTTGTGGTGTTGTTATCTGCTGTGGGTGGCTCATTTGTTTACACATCCATATGAATTTCATTGAAGTTTATGTATTTATATTTCTTTGAATTAGTATTCCATAGAATTATGATTCTCATAAACTTCCAATTAGATGCATCCAAAGGACCTTTAGATTTTCCAGGGGTTTAAATTATCGAACTGATACCGGCACACCCCATTTTTCATATGCAACGTTTGGAGTCCCACATCATCTAGATTTTGACCATTGGGAACCTCCCTTCCCAATAGCTCTTTTAGAGAGTGATTATATATGGGGTTGGAGCTGATGTTTACCATTTTAGGACAACTTGTGTGCCTGTCTAGCCTCTATTGGGGGGAGGGGAGGTGCATCATGCATGTTGGGAGTCTCACATTGATTAGACTTGGACTACTTCTTCTCGATATATGTTGGAACTCTCTTTCTTTTCTCAAGAGCTCTTTTGGTTGGGAATCTAATGGAGTTCCACATATTCTACATCCAAAGATTGTGTTATTAAAACGGTGGTGGCTTATGCATTTAGTTTGGCATGCAGGTATAACAGGGTTTTGAGGAGCTGGCAGCTTGCTTTTAACTGGGAGCTGGGGAACGATTTCCAGATTCGAGATGTGAGTGCACGAGTGTTGACCGACATGGCTTGGGTGACCATGAAAGCCTATGTTGCCATGGACCACAGCGCGTTGAACTTGACCAACGTGTTTGAGTTTCACAATGGTCGGTGGTACATGGTTCACCATCACAGCTCTGAGATGCTACTAAATGATGAGGAACTGCCACCTATGCTTGGCTGAACAAAGAAGAGCTTACTCCTATTCCTCGTCAATTTGCAAAGTGCTATAGTTTTACTTGCATGATACCAGGACTCAAATCCGTTTGCATCAAATTTGGTAGCTTCTGAGTTATTTATTTATTTGTCAACATTTCAAAAGTCGATGATGTCGAATTCGTTTTCTGACAAAATTGTGTTTCTTGTATCGTCTTGATAGAAATTCATCGTCGTCATAAGCCATCCCTTTTATTAAAGGTGTTGCTTTTTGAGTTCTTTTTTTGATTAAAACAGAGCTTTGAGAATGTAAAGGAAATTTTTTGATACTAATAAATGTAAGAAAAATTAGTAGGAAAATGGTTAAGTAGTGTATTTGGAGTTATCATCCTGTTTACTTGGTCCATGTCAAATAGATCAACACTTTTAAAGTAGACCGTTTGGTTGATTTTCAATTAAGTTTTGTATGGATATGGTTGTGGATTAATCTGTTTGAATTTATTGGGAAGACTTTTAATTGAAAGGGTTTTTTCGTAGATGACGTGTTTTTTAATTGGAAGGAACATGTTTGAAAAAACTTGGATCATTTGAATAAGTCATTTCCTATATCATTAAGCTCTACCAAACAGTCATGTATGACTGACAAAATAAACTGTCTCATTAAGTTACTAACTAACAGACTCTTATAGCAATATTGACTTTGAACTACAATCATAAAGGGGATAAAGATGTTGTTAAACAAATCTTTGATGTCAAATGAATGTAAAAATGAGTGATTTTGAAATACATGATAACAAATGAATATAAAGCAAGACTTTATTTAATGATAACAAATGAATATAAAGCAAGACTTTATTTAGCAGATTTGTTAATGGATCCAAATTCCATGGCCCAAAAGCTTATCCATCAATCCAACTCCAAGTCCAACAAAAAGGGAGAAGTTGTGGTTCACTTCAGAATCAGACATGACTAATATTGGTGACTTATAAGTAAAAGGTGAAAGCTTTTAAGCTCATTTTGGACCAAATTACCACCACAAACATACTTTCTTCTCTCCATAACTAACATTATTATGCATACGTATATAGTTTGAGATTATACTCAGACCAACCACATTTTGTAACACCTTGATAAATATTATGAATGTTCACTGTGTTTTTCTTATGAAAGTTCGTTATGTTTTTCGTGTAAATATCCAATAGGATAAGAAGAATTCATCCAAGCGCTTCAAGATGGTCTCACAAATTTGAGCCGTGTTATTTCCATAATAACATAAACAATAAATGTCAAATTACTGATAATACCATAGAAAAAAGAGTATAGGATCAAAAAGAAGAGATGATGAAATATCCATTCCATCGTAAAAGCCGCTTCCTAAACAATGCAAAAATACGAGCTTTCCACTAGAAAAAAATGTTGATTCTATCTTAAACACGTGCTTTGCGTACTATTTCTCGCATGGTGGTAGAAAATTGATATATATATATATATATATATATATATATAGTTAAGAAGGTAGAATGCTCTCAAAGAATGATAACATATTTTCTTTGTTACAATACCTACAAGTTATATATATATATATATATATATATCAACTTTTGCTATATCAGATCTTTAAACTTATTTGTATTATTTCTTTCTAAAACTCATACACTTCAATAACTTTTCAAAATCTTCAAACTTTTTGTCAATATGTCTCAATCATTCGCTCACTCAAGAGTCAAAATTTTCTCAAAACGTTTTTTGTATAATCTTTTTCACAGGCACAGGCTGAGGCTGACAATCTTTATGAAAGTAATATCTTTATTCTTGAGATATAAGTAAAATCTATATATCTTATCCTTTAATCCTTACTTTTAAATGAGATAATAATAAAATACATTTGATCTGATTTATTTTAACCATTCAGTTTAATATTTGTTAGAAAGAATCTATAAAATGTATGATGATGGAGACCTGATTCCACACCCACTCCTAACAAAATCTTCTCCACTTCTCATGATTGTCTTCACATCAACCCCCACCCAAAATTGCTCTTTTCTTTCTTTGTCCCTTCCCATCATGGTTTCATCATGTCCTATTCTTTAAAATTCATTTTTATTTTACAAATTACATGGAAGAAAAAGTAACGTACTTTAATTTGATATTTAAGTTAGATAATATGCTTTTAAAACTTTTATTCTGGTATCTAAGATGTAAAGTTTTAAACATTTAAGTACCCGAATAACCGGTTAATGCTATGACGACGGACGTGGTATCCGGTTAATGCTTCAACAAATAATACTGAGTTGAATACCAAATTAACTTGTAGGGTTGGGTTCACGTGAGACCAGTCTGTTTTCGTGAGTTCATAGTGTTTTTGCTGTGAATGTACGACTTTTTTTTTACCTTCACAGCGTTCTGCTATGAAGTTTCAAATGTAAAAAGATGATCTCACAAAAACAGACTGGTCTCACGTGAACTCAACCCTACAAGTTAATTCATCATTTTATAAAAAAAGATAGGTTAAATGTATCTTATAATTGCTAAACGAGCCCTTGTATGGTAATTGGAGAATATTATATGTACCTCTTTTTATGTCAGAATCAGATTAAATCATGTATTAAAAATATAAAAAATAGGCACTGATGTTGCTATCTATGATGAGAAAATTAATAACTCGGGATCCATTTAACGTACACCATGTTAATATTTTTCTCACATACATCAATATCAAAAGTATTTTTTATATTTTAAATACATGATTTGAATTTATACTGAGAATATACAAACCAAAATTATTATTTAATATTTTTATATTCTCTATAGCAAATACTTTTATCTTCATGGTATTTCAAAACATGTCTTAATAAATTTTATATTAATATTTTCATGATTAATAATTAAAAAAGGATTTTTTTTATTTTCTAAATAAAAAAATAAAATTATCTTATTAAATTATACATCAAAAGTAAAACCAAATAGTATACTATTTTAAGATCAATAATATGTGAAAATAAATACTATGAACTTAGGATATGTTAAAAAGTAAGAAATAAAGTAATAAATTACACTTTTTTCTAAGCACATCATCAAAGTCGTAACTTTGACCTAACGGTATGTGAGTCTTAGACCTTCTAGAAGGTCAATGTTCAAACCTTACCAAATATGAAGAGGGTGTGTGAGTTTATTTGTTCTTTTTACCGTATATAATTATTATATACTACAAAAATATGTTGTAACTTTGGTTTTGCATATATTTAATTGTAAGGTTGTGATAGTTAACAATCATTGTATAAGGGGCCGTTTAGTAAACACTTACCCGGGTAAGTATTTACCAAGTCATGTACCTCACCGGATGAATATAGTAAGGACCAAGAATCTTAATGGTAAGAGCGAGAAAATGACCATGAATCTTACCTGGTAAGTGAAGGCGACGACTCTTACCATGGTAAGTGTTTACCGGATAAATTGTTGCATACGATGTCGTTTTGGTGGACTAAAATCTTACTTAGTACGTAAATAATAGTGTTAAATTTTATCGGTAAGCACTTATCGAATAAGTGTTTGATAAACGACCCCTAAATATGTATCAATAATTACTTAAAACTGTATTTAAAGAAAACAATTTTAAAATATATGTTGGATAACAATATTTTATGGGCTTTAAAGTAAAAAAGCATCCCCTTTTTAGGGGTGGTGTGGGTGGTGGTGGCTATTCTATGGAAGGGACAATATTTTCCATATCAATGGTCAATGTAGAAAAGAGAAGTCAACTTTAAAAGAAATATTGACATTTTTGCCCTTTTCTAGAATATCATTTTGCTCCTTACTTTGTACAGATAGCGATCTTAAACGATTCATAGCTGATATTCTTAAAACATTTGTTTGATATCACAGTTGAAATATGAAAATAGTTGCTAAAACACGACAAATTGAAATGTTTTCAAACTATGAGTTCAAAGTCAATCTCGTACATGGTACGTTTGATCCAACATCGAAGTCAAAACAACCGATCTTTGTTGAATCTTCTACAGAGCTCAAGCCATTTGACAGTCTGGCAATAGTGAAACTACTATGCTCAGTGTCATAACAAAAAGTTTGGGAATGAATCAAAATAACGTTATTTAGAAATATATATATATATATATATATAGGGAAGGGTTCAAACGAGAACCCCTGTGATTTGCGAAAATGCAAGAACACTCAATTAACCTCATATTGTGATAACAATAAAAATTAAAAGATTTTTTAAATTAAAAATGAAATTAGAAGAATACAAAAAAAATGAGAGGCAAAAGGGTAATATTGGAATTCAAAGTGATAAAATTTTAAAAACACGATCACACTAAACCCAATAATTTGGATAACATAATGGTTATTGCTTATTTCAACACGATTTGGTGTGATTTGGGTGTGATTTGAATGTGATATGGGTGTGATAATTATGTGATAATCATGTGATTATCACACAATTACCAAGGATTCCAGTCGGCTTGGGTTAACTTAGGAAGTCGAGTACGATTTGGTGTGATATGGGTGTGATAATCATGTGATATCACTATCATAACAGCGCACTCGATTTGATCATGGTTTCGATCGGTTAGGGTTAGATAATCACACATTTATCACAATGATTACTCATAGTTTCGATAGGTTAGGATTAGACAATCATACATTTATCACAAGGATTGCGGGCGAAATCCACTAAACGATTTGATGTGATAATCATGTGATATCATTATTATAATATCACTTGCGCACTCAATTTGATCATGGTTTCGATCAGTTATGGTTAGACAATCACACATTTATCACAAAAATTACTCATGGTTTCGATAGGTTATGGTTACACTCGATTGATCATGGTTTCGATAGGTTATGGTTACACTCGATTGATCATGGTTTCGATAGGTTATGGTTACACAATCATACATTTATCACAAGGGAAAAGAAGAGAGTGGGAATGAACGTGTGGGAAAAAAGGGATAATTATAGTTAATTAAAACAAATTAAAAATTATAAAAATTACTTAATTACGTTATTGCCCTTATTAATTTATTTATATTTAATATAAGTTAATTTATTAATTAAAAAAGTTTGAGGTTATTGGGTTGTTCTTCCATTCTCGTAAATCACAGGGGTTCTTGTTTGAACCTCCACCTATATATATATATATATATATTCAAAATTTATATGCAGATTATTATTTATCTGTTATTTAACTTAGCAGTTGGGTTTTTTTTTTAATTATTGATTGTATTTTTATGCTTATATTATTTGTTAATGGATTTTCAACTAAACTTTATGATGGTCAATTATTAAATCATCAAGTGTTAAAAGGGACTAAAGAATACAAATCTTCTTTAATGGTTG